CCACTGGGTCAGGAGCTTGGGGAATATTGGGAGGATGATTGGTGATTGGGATGACGTGTAGTTGGGAAACTAGAACTGTCTGGGCCAGAAGGAGGTGAGAAAAATCCTGCTGGATTTTGTGTAGAACTTCTGGCAGAAGTGGTAGCAGAGGGAAGGCACAGTTGAACTGGTCCGGGCAAGGAAGAATCAGAGTGTCATCTGGGAGTGGCAACCTCGGTGCAACAGGTGCATTTCCTGTTTGTTTGAGAGGTGAACAGATCCCTGGTTGGAGTTCCCCATAAAGTGAAAATATTGCACAGTACTGAATCATGGCACTCCCCGTGTGGTCAATCCCAAAATATTCGCTGAGGGAATCTGCAAGCACGTTTTGCTTTCTTGGAAGTTCATCTGCTGATAGGATTATTTGATTGCTGATACATCAGTTCCGGAGGCTGACTGCTTCTGCACACAAGGAGGTGGATCTCGCTCCCCGCTGCTTGCTGACATAGAAGAGAGTCGCTATGTTTTCTGACATTACAAGGACACATTGAGCGCAGATGAACGGAAAAAAAGACTTGCATTTCTTCCAGACTGCTCGCAACTCCGGGATATTGATGTGCATCCTGGAGTCTCGAGATGTCCAGGCACTTTGTGCTATGTTGCTGTTCATGTGGGCCCCCCTACCTAATAAGGATGCATCTGTAATAATGGTGCTGTCTGGAGAGGACGGGGGACGCCCACACATAACTGATAAGGTTTTGTCCAACACAGTAGGGAAGACAGTACCTTGGCCAGAACTATCACCAAGAGATTCATGGCATGACAGCTTGGGAAGTATACTGACTGCAGCCAAGTTTGAAGGCAACGAAGGTGGAGTCTTGAGAATGGGGTGATGTAGGTGCACGAGGACATATGACTTAGGCAAAGCAGACATGTCTTCACTGGTACTCGAGGGTTGCTTGTGACGTGAGCCAGGTTCATGGTCTAGAACCTGTCCTTGGGCAGGTATGCTCTTGTGGTGATAGAATTTAAGGTTGCCTTAATGAAGTCCAGAGATTGCATGGAGGTGAGAACAGATTTTTCAGCATTTATGATGACTCCTAGTGAGGAGAGGAGGTGTAGCATCATGGAAGTTGATGCATAGGCTTCCTGGTAGAACTTGGCAACAGGGAGCCAGTCGTTGAAGTAGGGGAAGACAGTGAGACCAGAACGTTTGACCAGTACCAAGAATATCTCGGTAAAGACTCTTGGGGGTGGTCACTATTCTGAAGGGGAATACTCTGTAATGAAAATAGTGAGAGCCTACCATGAATCTGAGAAAGCATCTGTGGGCAGTATGAATATCTACATGAAAGTAGGCATTCTTCGTATCGAGAGCTGTGAACCATATGCCCTTTTCTAAAGATGGAATTATTGCTGTCAATGTGACTATGTGAAATCTGAGTTTGCAAATGAAGCAGTTGATATGGCAGAGGTTGAGGATTGGTCTCCAACCACCCTTCTTTTTGGATATCAGGAAGTAGGTCAAGTAAACCTTCTCCCTTGGTATTGAGGAGGGATGTGTTCTGCCACTCCTTGCTGCAGTAAAGAGTTCATCTCTTGGTTGAGAATACTCTCGTGAGAGTGATCCCTGAAGGAGGGTTGGGAGGGTATTTTTTGAGGCGATAGGGATGCAAACTATCATATAGCCAGAGTGGATGATGTTCAGCACCCTCTGGTCCATTGCTTTTGCACTCCAAATGTTGAAAAAGGGTGCTAGATGACCCCCTAATGGTATGTGTGTGGGTCGAGAGGTGTTGGACTGAGGGCTTGTCTACACTTACCGGGGGATCGACGAGCGGCGATGGATGCATCGGCGAGCGGCAATGAATGCATCGGCGGTTGATTTAGCGTGTCTAGCGAAGACCCGCTATAATCGACCGCAGATTGCTCTCCCGTCGATTCCTGTATTCCACCGAATTGAAAAGAGTAGGGGGAGTCAATGGGAGAGCGTCTCCTGTCAACATTGCATAGTGTGGACCCCGCAGTAAGTAGATTTAAGCTACGTCGATTTGAGTTATGCTAGTCACATAATTCAAATTGCGTATCTTAGATCAAATGTCCCCTGTAGTGTAGACAAGGCCTTAGTGTTTTGCTGCTCTTGAGCTCCTGTCAAAAATAACGTCACACAGGGGGCTGAGATTGAGATCTTGATCCTGTTGCAGAGGGTGTAGGCGAGCAGGACTTTTGAAACTTCTGTCTCTGACGTGGTGGTTCATAGGGCCTCTGATGGAAAAACTGCTGAGCCATGTCTAGATTTGACCGATGGGTGATGAAACTTCTTCTTAGGGGCAGGCATGTATATCCCCAGTGAGCAGAAGGTAGCTCAGGAATCCTTCAGGCTTTGGAGGGACTCGTCCGTCTTCTGATTGAAGAGGTGCAGTTCACTGAAGGGTAGGTCCTCAAATGGTATTCTGGACCTCCTTAGGAAACCCTGACACAGAGCCATGACTTCCTTAACATGATGCTGGCAGTAGTCATAGCTCTAGAAGAGGTATCCACATCATTGACTGAAGATTGGAGGTGGGCCTATCAGTTTGCCTTCATCTATCAAAGCTTGAAAACAAGCTCTGTCCTGTTTCAGAAGGCTGTCAGTAAACTCCGCAAACTTGGCATAGTTTAGGAAATCTTCTTTAGCCAATAGTGACTGGTAATTGGCCATCCTGAACTGGATCCCATCAGGATCCAGGTGTTTGCCCTCTTTGTCAGCAGGAGTTGACTGAGGATGTTGCTATCTAGCCCTTTCAGAAGTGGCATGGACTTAGTTAATTAATTAATTAATTAATTAATTGAGATATCCTCTCTCCTAGAACTGGAAGGGATCTTGAAAGGTCATTGAGTCCAGCCCCCTGCCTTCACTAGCAGGACCAAGTACTGATTTTGCCCCAGATCCCTAAGTGGCCCCCTCAAGGATTGAACTCACAACCCTGGGTTTAGCAGGCCAATGCTCAAACCACTGAGCTATCCCTCCCCCCTACCAGTGACTCAGGAGTAGAGTGAGAAAACAAAAATTCCACACCATTGGCCAGCACTTAATAATTCTTCTCCACCCCTTTGGAATAGATGTGCAGGTGGCAGGGGTGTGCCAAACTGTCCTAGATGGCTTTAGTATGGCTTCATAAACAGGAAGAGCTATTCTGTTGGGTCTGGAAGCGTGCAGAATGTCTAAGAGGTTGTGCTGGGAGTCTTGCATTTCCTCAAGAGTAATCTGAAGCTTTCCAGCAACTCTGTGAAGGTGGTCCTAGAATTGCCTGAAGTCATCAGGGGAGAGGGGAAGAAAGGGATGTATAAATCATCGCTTCGTCCGGGGAGGACGATGGCAGTCTTGCTGATTCTGGCAGAACTGCCGGATCCGGAATGTAATGCTCCTCCTCCTGTCAGATTGGGGGGCAGATCTGAGTGTCCCCTTAGAGGGGAGACAAGGGGTGACATCCTGGCAGATTGGATCAACTCTGCAGGGGGAGTAGTGATCCCAATGCCCCCAATATGGCCAGTAGGAGGGGGTCAATAGGTGTTCGGGGGACCTCCATGGCATACGGTACCAGCAGCTCTGAGTTAAATAAGGCGGAGGTTGGTCCCAAACTGGTGTGGGCCTTTTGGGTGGTGGAGGACACATAGGGTAAGGGAAGAGTGGTTCATTCAATGGCTCAATCTCCTGATGAGGAGAAGGTTGATTCCGGTTCCAGTGGTGGTACTGTTGGGAGATGTATTCTGTGTATAAGACAGGTGATAAGCTCCTTCCAGCAGTCGATTCTCTCTGAGGTGATATTATCTCCCTGGAAATGGAGGGGCCTGATGGAGGAGGGGATTCTGAATCCAGAAAAGTGAAAATGTCCTGTGGGGCAGCAACAGATTCAGATCTCCCAACTGTGGGAGAGGTTCTGCTAGTCTGGGCTGTCAGACCCTGGGGTGGTATCCAAAGTTGGCGGTGATCAGATTTCGTACCGACAGACCCTAGGGTTTGGGCAGAGCTGGGGATGATGGTACTGAGGGAACAGAGTCCAGTACTGATGGAGCCCAATGTTTATGGCCTTTCTTGTCATGCCTCTGGGACTTAGGATGTCCTAAGTCCTCATGGGCCAAGCTCGTAGGCTTGCCTACAGTCAAGTCTGACTTCTTTGAAGTGAACTTAGAGGAAGACTTACTCTCATGCTTATGAGAGTGCTTCTAAGCTTCCTCACAAGTTAAGGGTCAACTACAAGGAACAAAAAACTGAGTAATGGCCAGCTCTGTTCTTTGAAGGAATGCTCCTGTTCAGTATCTAGTTCTTGATCCCACCCCTACAATTCTGGCTACCTATGGAATAAAGACCAACTTGACCGATAAAGGATAATTTTAAAATGAAAAAGTCTTTATAGATAAATCAGAAAATTAAAATAGATAATGTGGCACACAGGTGATATAGCCCCAAGGAAAGGGAGGGAGTGATTTTTACATCTGCGAGGACAGAAGCACTTGTCTATTTGAGAAAGAGCTGAATTTCAGATGGAGACGCACTCTTTCAAATATAAGGTTTCAAATATAAGATAGGTCTGTGAGGGAGGAGTTGTGCTGCATGACATAAGTGATCACAGATGGGATGTGGAGAATCTCTAAAATCCAGTAACAATGGGATAAACTTCCACGTAGAATCTCAAGAAGAAAGGATTGAGAAGAGACTAGACTCCACTACTTTCTTCTGTAGACCTTGCCCCCCACTTTCCTCATTATTCAAGGAATGAATTTGAATTGCATTTACAGTATATTACATAATTAAAATGTTAGCTCCAGCTACCATCATTTTGAAATCAATGTGATTTTGCCTATTTATAATGTCAATTTAACTATTAGCAGGGCCTGCTGTGGGAGGTGGGGAAATTAAAAGGGGAGGCAGACAGAATTTGCTTAGGGTTGTGAAGGCCTTGGTTTTGAAAGTATGATTTGCATAGTAAGTTCATAGTACTGAAAATTAATGCGACTCTGCATGTCTAACTGGCATTTTATTTCACAAACTAAGCTATTTCAAGTTTTGTAACAGACATTTCATTTCACTTGATTGTATTAAAAAAAAACAAAAAACCTTACATTCATGGTTTTTTAAACACACAAAAACAAACATTTGAATGCATTTCATTTTGTGGTATAAGAGCAATGCTTTACATGTTTATTTTACAGCTGTTCAATTATTTTGATGTAGATTACTCAAATTCAACACTTTACCAAATGCAGTACATAGGCCATACATATTATTTACAGCATACGACAGTAAGAACTCGTGTGTCTTAAAACAGATAATGCTGTATTGGGAACAGTACATATGGGGAATAGTACAGCAGTCTGTACACCACCTGTATTTGTGATAAATGTTTTCCCAGTGGTATGTAACAAGGTTGTAGTCCTTTTATCAGAGGGTCTTACAATGTGTTTGTGTGCTCAGCAATGCCCAAATAAAAAGTGGGAGAAAAGGGTACTGTTCTAGACTTAGGACCCAATTCAGCAAACACTAACTTTAAGCGCACACTTCAGTGCTTTGATGAATAAGAAGCAAAAACCTCAGCCTCCTTTTGTGGGTGTCTCACTCCTTTATGAATTTAGAGCATTTTGGTTTTAATTATTATGCAATAATTCAGATAATTCTTTTTCTTAAAGACTTAGACCAGATTGTGATTCTCCCTATGACAGGAGGGAGTTCAGCCAATATAATTAATTCTCAAGTGACTAAACTTCTGCTTTAATCAGTCTCTCTTACCACATCAATTGAATAACATTTTCATCCCTTCTTCGGCAGAACGGTGGGCTTACACATACACACCACCAATAAAACAGACCGTGCTGAACACATACATTATGCAAGTGCTCTCTAAAAAAAGGGACAATGTTGAGGTCTTAACTTTGAAGAAGTTGCAAAGAAAAATAATTCTACCACACTGCCACAGGAGCAAAAAACAAGAGCCACTCCATTCAGTTTTAATTTTTCTCTCTCCACCACCATTATTCCCAGAGCTTGGACAATGGTATTTATGATGGGGATGATGAACTCTATATGCTGAGGTTATTGTTAAACCAAAGCAGCCATTTAAACTTCAGCACCATTCGAACTATATGGGAAGGAGTCAATTTTTATCTAGTCAGAAAGGAAAACTTTTTAGAGAAAGACCCTTTATAACTTTTCAGAGGGGATAAGCAAGGGAGAGAAAAAAATCAGTGAACAATTTTTTTGACCGTGTACTATGTGAATGTGTTGAGATTTTATACTGAAAAAACGTCTGAGGTGCTATTAAAAAAGGAGTTGTCAACAGTAGACCCAAACTTTAGGTTTATAGAAAGCAAGTTTTGACAAGACAGGTTTTTCATTTTTTTTTTTTTTTAAACAAGTCATTAATGTAGTTTTCAGTTTAATTTAAACATTTCCCATCCTGTGCCTGGAATTAGAGAGTGACAAATCAATCCATTTTCATTGTCCTATCTGGGAGAAATGGAGAAACACCCCATCAATGCGAGACTGACCATTCATTCAGTTTTGATAGTGTAAGGTGTTATACAATAACCCAGGTAAAGACGTTTGCTTTTAAAGTAACAGTGTCCCTTTAATGTACAATTAACCTGTAAAGAGGGAAGGGAGATAAGAGTGATTCAATGTCTTACATTATAACAAATATCTAGGTGGGAAAAAAAGGATGTAAGAAGCATGTAAAATCTGTACATGCAAAGATACCTGGCATTTTCAAAAACTGCTATAGTAAGGTTTGTTTAATTTCTTCCATCTGCAGAAGAAAGTCTACAATTATATAGTGTGATCTCTAAGCTTTACGGTGCATTTACATTAGCAAAAACCTTTCATCGCTCTTTGCATCTGTACGAAAACTGTATATCCATTATAATTTACAAAAAATTGTATCTGCAATCTTACAAACATGATTTAACATTTTAGTACACAGGAAAATATATAGCTCTCTGGCACTTAGTCTCCTCCACGGTACCTGTCTATTACAGTACAGAATAACACTTTTCAACATGTGCTTTTGAAAACCTTAGACTGAAGTAATGGGGGCTGATCTAGAAGCTACAGCTTCTGCAGCTCCCAAGTGTTAAAAAATGAGAAAAATCTGCCACTTTTTTGTATAACAATCAACAGTTTATTAATGGACATGATGAAATTTTAGCTATCCACCAAAAATGTGTAAAAAATTGCCATGAAAGTAAAAATAAATAAAGCTGTTTTTAAATCAGTCTTGTTTTACATATCAGTTCAGAATGTAACATTAAAAACACGAAACCGTCATTAAAGTTTTAAAGTAATCTACTGATATTCAAATTACAACTTTTATGACAAATCTAATGAGAACTGAAACTGATTTGGTTTTAGGTTTAAAGACTTTCACATTCAAATACAGTGTCTTGTTTAGCACAATACTTCCTCTGACAGTGATGGGCAACCGATGACATATTGCTGTATTTGACATAAGGCACTATGATATGAATATGCCACACACTTGCCTTATGTCAGATGTCTGTTGCTGACCAGTGACTTCTGTCAAATACGAATGAAACAGTTTCAGAATACAGTGCATTTTAATGAAGGACATAGTCTTTCAGCAAACGTTTTGAAGACATTTTGAAATGCAAGCCTACATTTTTTAACCATATAAGCTTTTTTGTCATGCTGCTTTTTTGCGACACCACTGGGGGAAAATACAGACATTACCCATCACTGAGTTTCAATACACATTCTCATAACCGTTCTTCTCGTTTCTATTGCAGTCAGTGTTCTTGAGGCAAACTTGACCCAGAAACTTTGTTCAAGTTCTCCTAGAAAGCTTTATACATTCACAGCAGTCACTCAGTTTCACTCTCCTTTTGTTTGGCACCTGTTCATAGAAAAAAAATTCAGACTTTTCAAAAACATGTAATGTCCTTGCTCAAACAGTACTTCAGAGTCATGGAAAGGCAGTTTGAAAAACACTGTTCTGGAGCATATTTGGGATATTGCAACACTGACTCACTAGGTATGAGACTCTTAACTTAATAGTCAATACCATTCTTGAAGAAGACACATTAATTTTAGTAATTAGGAACATGAGCAAAGCCAGAGGGGCTTTGTTTGTCTGTTGTTTTTTTTTTTTAAGAGGCGCCCCTCAGCATAGCAGCCAAGTGCCATAGAAGGCAAATCAACCACACAGTTGCTGAACCAATGGTGATGATTCTTCTAGGATGAGGTCAAGAACCATGGCACAAAAGACCCTTGGTGCTTTTTTTTTGGTCCTTGATGGCAGTCAAGTTCAGCACTAAAGCTCCCTCAAGGTGAAGACCCACTTGAGACCGAGCCAAAGAGGATTCCCACACTATCTGTATTATGCTGGTGCGTCAGTTTACTTTAGCACAGAAGAAGAGCCTGATTAATGGGTGGTCCAACAGTCCTGGAAGAACAAGTGGTGACAGGGCTGGAAGACCATTCAGTATACTGGATTTCTTTTAGGCTCTTCACCACTACCTCTGCTTCTGGGTTCCAGCATCAAGCCCTTTCTCTCCTCTACAGTTCCAGGCAGCCAGCTGGCCATGAGCTGAATGAGGATGAAGCTGCACTCAAAGTGAGCCCAATCACTGATCCCGGAGACGAGCATTCTTTAGCCAGCAACTTTAAGCCAATGGGTTGGGGAATGTTAGGGTATGTGCTGTATTTAGATTATTATTTTAGGTATCAGGGAGGTAAAATGTGTGAGGAAGCAAGATAGAGATTTGAAATCTAAGACCTCTGAGGGCCCATGAGGTTGCTAGGAGCCACCCTGGAATGTTTGTTTGAAAGTCAGCAGTTGGAAGAGAACTGTTAGAGTTAGATGTGGAGACTTGCCAGCAGAAGGTGGTTTTATCCAGGTTTTCTGAAGTTGCCAAGAAAGGTTTCTCCAGACTCCAGAGACTGGCCCATGAAGTATTAAAGATGTCTGGGCTGCTGAGGGAGCTGCAGTGAGACCAGACCGGGAGAACACAGGACTCCATGGGTTGAAAGACCAGTGAGCACTTCCAGATGATCAGTTCATTCATAGGTTTTAATTGTAAATAATACACTAGAAGTTTGTGAATTCAATCTGGAGTGGAGCTGTGGTAATTTCTGTAGTGGCCTTCAACGAACACCTACCGGAGACCCTTGCTCCTTGACACAACTGAGTCCTTCTAACAAGCGAACAGAGGAAGGGTTGCCCCAAGGTGAGAAGCTTGGTGGTGGCAGCAGATGGCCATAGGAAACCTGGGGTTGCGACAGCTGGACTTCAAATGTATACAGTTGTGGAGAGAGATTGTGCACTATGTTAAATACCACAAGTTCTCCCCCGCCCACTTGTTTTTTTCCCTTACCTACAGCAACCACTATCCACCACTTAGAGGAGAAATCCTATAGTCTCTCCTCCTAACAGTCACACTTCCTTTCTCCATATACATAGGCAGACACCATGACTGATCTCAAACTAAATTTAGCATTATCAATGCAAATGAAAAATTCCACTTGGGCTTATGGTTAGACACTTTCTTTTAAAGGGGCAGTATTAGATTAAATTTGGCCCAAAATTCAGGAAACTTTTTGTGTTTAAACAAAAAAAATCTTGACTCAAATGTTTGTGTCTCTTCACCCCACCATTAAAATGGAAAGAGGGTTTTTGCTTAAAACTTTGCAGCATTGTACTAACTGTAGAACCTAAAAGTGAAAACTTACTATAAAAAGTGAAACTGGCTATTGTTTTCCATTGCTTAAGCTGAGAGAAATACAAAACAGCATCAGCATAAATGGTGAGAGTTTTATAAAACTTTTGATTTATGTGACGGGTACCTGTCAGTAGTTTTAATTAAGTATCCCACATTTTGATTCCGTACTTCCTCCTCTCAAAACATAAGCCCCAGTTTTTTTCCTAGAAATGAGATCTAGGAGCAGCAGCCTCTACAGCCAACAGCAATAGCATTCCTGGAATGCTCTGTTCTACACTCCAGAAGCACATTTTGACTCTAATGGTGAAAGCTAGTATAATACTTGAAATAAATCATCCAGATTCACCTTTCCTACAAACTTGAACATGGAGATTTAGTTGTTTTTTCTGCCAAAAATGGAAAGTACACTAGAAAATGTGTTTTAACAGTTATAGTATTTGACATCAAGACAATAAATATAATAGCAATATTTCTGGATCTGGTGATTTTTGCTATAAGCTGGGGACTTATCTGTTTGAAGTGACAGAGGAGGAGAAAGACCTGGGTGTATTGATTGATCTCAGGATGACAATGAGCTGCCAATGATGCAGCTGTGAAAAAGGCTAATACAATCTTAGGATGGCTCAGGCGAGATATTTCCAGCAGAGACAGGGAAGTGTTAGTATTCCAGATGAGATGTATAATGGTACTGTGTACAATTTGGGTCTCCCATATTTAAGAAAGATGAATTCAAACTGGAACAGGTGTAGAAAAGGGCTACTAAGATTATCAGAGTAATGGAAAACCTACCTTATGAGAGGAGACTCAAAGAGCTTGGCTTGTTTAGCCTAACCAAATGAAGGCTGAGGGGAGATACAATTGCTCTCTATAAATACATCAGAGGGATAAATACCAGGGAGGGAGAGGAGTTATTTAAGTTAAGCACCAGTGTGGACAGAAGAACGAATTGATATAAACTGGTCATTCAACAAGTTTAGGCTTGAAATTAGACGAAGGTTTCTAACCATTGGAGGACTGAAGTTCTGGAAGCCTTCCAAGAGTAGCAGTAGGGGTAAAAAAAACCTAACTGGGTTCAAGACTGAGCTTGGTAAGTTTATGGAGGGGATGGTATGATAAAACTGCTTACAATGACATATAGCTGATCTGTGACTGCTAGCAGCAAATATCCCGAACGGTCAGTGATGGGACCCTAGAGGGGAGGGCTCTGAGTTACTATAGAGAATTCTTTCCCAGGTGTCTGGCTGTTGGATCTTGCTGAAATGCTCAGGGTCTAACTGATCGCCATATTTGGGGGCAAGAAAGAATCCCCACCACCCCCCAAGTCAGATTGGCAGAGACCCTGCAGCATGGAGCACAGGGTCACTTGCAGGTTTAAACTAGTGTAAATGGTGGATTTTGTGTAATTTCAAGTCTTTAAATCATGATTTGAGGACTTCAATCACTCAGCTAAAGGTTATGGGTCTATTACAGGAGTGGGTGGGCAAGATTCCATGGTCTGCAATGTGCAGGTCAGACTAGAGGAACTTGATGGTTCCTTCGGACCTTAAAGTCTATAATAGACATTAGCAACAAATCAAGCAGACTAAGAACAGCATGCTATGCTATACCCTACTGTACCTGAAGGTTTATGAAAAGAGGACAGAAGGCAGCATCTATACCTGCTGGTGTGAGCACCAATGCTTGTAGAATGTCAGAGAGGGAGATGATACCCACAATGCTATCTGCTTCATTCACTACTACCAGACGATGAACCTGCAAGCAGGGAAAATACATTTTATTGGATAGGAATTTTATTTTTCTGATTGATAAATAATGGCAAAGGTGAAACAAAGAGTCCTAAAATAAAGTGCTTAAGGTGGGCAAATTTCCAGAATTAGAGGGAAGAAATTGTTCAGTCATCAGTTTCTTGACTAACATTTTAATATGGTGGTATCACAACATGCTTAAGCTACTACTTAAAGGAGCACACAGTTGTAATATTTGTGTGATATTGCAGCAAAAGGGACCCTTGTCAAGCGATATCAACCCAGAAATAATAATTTATTTATTTTTACAAAACCTAAGCCTTTAAGACTTAGCATAGCTCTGTTCTGAAAAGCAACTCTGAAGTGCCATTGTGAGTTTCAAATTTGAGTCAATAACCTCTGAATACATTGATATGAATTAGAGTACAATGATAAGAACTTGACTTTAAAGAGATTTTTCCAACTGACAGTCTCTGCCAACTCAACCTGGCATCTTATATTCACAAACTGCATCCTTGCTTGTGCACCATCATCAGGAAGAGGAGATTGTGTATGTCAAATTCTGCAGTCAGATTTATTCAAGCTCATTGTATTCAAGTTGTTTTCAGTGACACTTCTCTGTAATGGGATTAGACAGGTGAGATTGAGGGCCAAATCTGATTCTAAAATTGGAACCTGAATAACAATTCTGCTAATTTTGCATGAAGTCTGAACAGATTTCATGTCATACTGCAGAGATAACACAGCTAGGAGAGTGAAGTAGCAAAGATGGGTTGCTAGACCAAGTAGATACAACTCTGAATACCCAGAGATTTGTGAATAGCAAGGTGATATTTTTACAGTCACTTTTCAGAGTAGAATTTTAAGACCAACAGAAATGTTTCACATTTTTTATATATATATATATAAAATATCTATCTATCAGAAACAGAGTTTTCATCAACAAATATTCACCTTCTGAGTTTATAATCTAAACATTGCAGCATTCATCAGGACCAGAAAAATGAACCTAATCAGAAACAAAGTGAAGCTAACCAATCTAGTTTTGTTACAAGTTGAGAGCAATATTATTTACTTGTTGCATAAATAGTGAAAAGTTTGTTTAACAATTTCAGTTTGAATAATCGAATTTAACTGCAACATACAGTTATACTGATAAACTTCAAGAGTAAGAGTTGATCATCTACTTGAGTATAAAATGTAGATATCTAACAGCTGAATACTCTTGATCATTTATCTTAAGGTTCAACATTTAACCATTTCTTCTTTTTTACTATCACTAAAAATCAGTTTTCTGTAAGACATCACTTTTTTTCATGGGAAAGATGTCCAAATGAGTAAAAATGTAAATACTGAGATTACTGCTTCCAGCACAGTATTTCAATGAGAACTGGCATTAATCTCTCTCAAAGATGAGATTAGGGATGTCAGATACAAAGTGACAAAGGCAAAAAAAAGAGTTGAAATGTTAACAACTTTCCTATTTCTTTTATTAACACCTTGGAACCCCCTTAGCGCTAGGCTATCAAATTTCTCAAATGCTAGTAAGTGCAAAGAAGAAACCTCATCACCCTCACCAAGGGGATAACAGCATGAAAGCAGCATCTCTGGTTTGATTAAAGTAATGGTACGTTAATTTAGGACTGAGGTTAACTACATACCAGTCAGGATACCTTAGAGCTCCTCTTCTCTTGTATTTGAACAGTCATACCCACCTGATACAAATGGGGAACACAGGAAAGAAATAGAAAGAAAAGGGGGAAAATTCTGTTTTTATAATTTTTTTCTTCTAATGAAATTGTGCTGGTGATACTTTAGACACGGATATTAGTTTTCTGTATATTACGCACATTTAATCACTTGGTCATCTTTCTCACATTGTGTCGTGAGTTCCATTAAGAAAAATTATTAGTATATCAATTAAACACTTAATACCAGTATGATTAAGCATTCTTGTTTAGCAACCAAAAAGATCAATTTAGTACCACACCTGAAATTTTTATAGTAAAAATAAGTGTTTTACACACAAGACACAAACTATTTTGTGACAATGGGCAGCTTCTAACTTCACTGGGGAACAGGGCCAGATTTCTAGAATATTTGTGGGCCTCTACATAAAGCTGACTCATTGAGAAATATTTTATATTTGTGTATTTATAGTGTATCCATTTAAATAGATAAATTTCATTCGTTATACAATGTGCACAAAAATACATACAGTTTTTCCTATTAGATGTTAAGTGAATGTTTGAAGTTGTGTGAATTGAACTATACTGCAGCTATCAAGTGGCAAGTCTCAAGAAGCAGGTTCCTCTTGTAAAAGTGATTTTCCTTCTCAGGGAGCTGTCACCTGGTAAAACAAAGGTTAACGAGGAAGGGTCAGGCAGGCAGGCCAAGATGGGCCACATCCTTGTGTGACATGCTGTCCAAATCACACCCTTTGTATTTCTGCACTAATGGTTGGCTTATTTTTTCTGAAGGGTTCTTTGGGGGATCCAGACATTCCATAAAGCTTGTGAGCAAAAGTGAGTCCATTGAGGAATACAGTGTAATTCTTACAGACTGAGGGAGGATAAGTATGGCCTTACCAGGCTCAGCTTGCACTCCCAAGGGAAGGAATCTTTTTTGAAACTGTTGGAATGGATTTAAGACCTCTAAAGATATTAATAGAAAGTTAGACATAATGTGGGTCATTCTAAACACACTGTAGCACAAACTGCAAGCTTTAGTGGGCACAGAAAAAGCCAGAGGATATGGTCTGTTGATACAGTTCTAATGGAATACTGAGGAATAGGACTGACAATCTTGGGAATTAACTCAAATTAAATAAATGCAAGATTGGGGTCCCTGAAGATGCAACATCTTGGATGCAGAAACTGAAATAATATGTTTTAAATGACTCATGAAGATGACTGAAATGGGTAATTTTGATTTTTCTGAAATGGGTTTGATAGGTGGACACCTCTCTCTTGCTCCTTTATATGACGTCTATTGATACTGGAGAAGGAAGACAGAGGATAACCGCACCAAAACATTGGTAGATACAGCTACAGGTGAAACTGATTTAGACTTCATAATGTCTGCTTCTCTGGTCAGTCAGGTAACATCACATGGCAGAATCAGTAGGAACCAGATGTATAGAATAACTAAACATGATCAGGGATGCATGATGCAGTAATGTTAATGTTATGTATTTGTCATTTGAATTTACATATATCTTTATGCTTTTAGCATGCTTGAACTCTTATTTGTTGTTTAAGTTTGCCTCATTGTAAATGCATCTCATAACCAGGGGCGCTGGAAACCTGTGTGAAGGGTTTCCATGCTTAAAAGCAACAAAGAGTCCTGTGGCACCTTATAGAATAACAGACATATTGGAGCATAAGCTTTCGTGGGTGAATACCCACTTCGTCCCCATGCTTAAAAGACATCCAAGATTCCAAAAATCTGCCAGGATGGTTTCCACAGCATTTAAAGATTTCATTTAGAAAGCTAAGTTTGTAGTCCTCCTCTCTTTTTGTAAAGATAACCTTTTAAAACAAACAAAAAAGCGGTACAATCTTCCTGAGTCTAGAGACATACTAAAATAGCTGTAAGATGTATACTGCCCCCCCATCTCAATGTAGTGGTTATTCTGCAGTTTATAAACAATTTAAAAATCACTGTTAACTCTTTCACTTATACTTGTCATATGATCTGGACAGTGAATTAATCTGAAAGGACATTCCACAAAAGTTTTAAAAGATGCCAATAATATTCTATCATATTTCTTCCCCATCCGGTCAGCAAAGGTTGACCAATTTCCCAGTAGTCTTAATTTCTGGGAGTACCTAATCTGCCAACAGATTATACTGAAACTTTGTTTAAGACCCAATTACAGTATGATCACTAGCCATCTGGTCAGCCAGCTTCTTCACAACTTTTAGTTCCTAATAACTCCAGTGCCTTCCACACACTGTATCTCAGACTCACAGATTCCAAGGTCAGAAGGGCCCACTGTGATCATCTACACTGACCTCCTATATAACACAGGTCATAGAACTTCTTCAAAATTCCTAGAGCTAGATGTTTTTCTAAAAGATCTATCTCGATTTAAAAACTGCTAGTGATGGAGAATCCACCACAACCCCCAGTAAAGTGCCCCAATGGTTAATTACCCTCATTGTTAAAAACTTGTGCCTTATTTCCAGTCTGATTTTGACTTGCTTCAGCTTCTAGCCATTGTATCAGGTTATGCCTTTCTCTGCTAGACTGAAGAGCCCATTATCAAAGATTTGTTCCCCATGTAGATACTTATACACTGTGATGAAGTCACCCCTTAACCTTCTCTTTATTAAGATAAATAGGTTGAATTTCTTCACTATAAAGAAATGTTTTCTAACCCTTTAATCATTCCCTTGGCTCTACTCTGAACTCCCCCCCCCCCCCCCAGTTTATCAAACATCCTTCTCAAACTATGGACACCAGAACTGGAGACAGTATTCCAGCAGTGGTCACACCAGAGCCAGGATACAGGGGTAAAATGACCTCTGCTCCTACTTGAGATTCACATTTATGCATCCCAGGATCACATAAGCTCTTCTGGTCACAACATTGCAAGGGGAGCTCATGTTCAGATGATTATTCACCATGACCCCCAAATGTTTTACAGAGTCCCCCATCCTGTAAGTCTGGCCTATATTCTTTGTTAATAGATGTATACATTTACATTTAGCCATGTTAAAATGCATATTGCTTACTTGTGCCCAGCTTATCAAGCAATCCAGATCAGTGACCTGTTCTCTTCATTATTTACCACTCCTCCAATCTGTGTCATCAGTAAACTTAATTAGAGATTATTTTGTTTTCTTCCAGGTCATTGATAAAAATGCTAGATAGCATGGGGCCAGAACCAATCCCTACAAGACCCCACTAAAAACACCTAGTCGGTGATTCCCTGTTTACAGTTACATTTTGAGACTAATCAGCCAATTTTTAAATCAATTTAATGTATACCATATTATTTTTGTATTATTTAGTTTCTTAATCAAAATGTCATGTGGTACCAAATCAAATGCCTTACAGAAATCTGAGCATATTACTCCAAACACTATTATCTTTATCAGCCAAGCTGGGAATCTCATGAAAAAAAATATCAAGTTAGTGTGAAAGGATTTATTTTCCATAAACCCATGTTGATTGGCATTAATTATATTACCCTCCTTTAATTGACTATATTATTCAGCTTTAATTATTATTATTATATAATATATATACAAATATAATTAGCTTACAGCTACACAAAAAAGTATGCCATCTTTGCACAGGCCCTCACTCACTCTAATCATGGTTTTGATCCTGAGGTTACTTCTGAAAAATATGACATGCACTCTCAAACATAGCTTGTCAGCTGCAAAGCATTAGGCATCCACAGTGCAGTTTGCAGGACTGTGCATTTGTTGCCAAGTATGTTCCAAAAGCAGCGTTTCTCTTGAATAACATTATTTGTGAAAGATTCTTCCATTGTCCACTGATATCAAATAGAAAACATAGTAGTGGGGCTAAGCGGAGATACAAGCTATAAAAAATATCTTGCAATTCCCCCATCACCTGCCAAGTCCTCAACGAAGTCATACTGATTTCACCAAAATCACCTGCAAATTACCAATGCCCCCGTTGATAAACCTAGTAAATCAACACTTTGATATCTACACATGCTAATGTAAGAAGTAACATCTGCAGTGAACCATCAACGTTGCTTTGTGTTATTTTACTGGACTTTGATGAAAGGATGCTTATGCACTATTTGGTACCCTTGTTGTCTTATTGCTTTAAAATACTGAAGTGAACAAAGTAATCTCACCTCAGCCTTCACTATTCTATCAACAATGGTCTCCAGTGTTTCCAGCTTACTGCACTTCACAACACCTTCAAAATACTGAGAACGGTGCTGGAGAGCTTGCGTTACGGTGATATCTAGATTATTATAGGTTTTTTCAGCAGCCAGGTTCTGAAAAATAAATTAAGAGGAATCATTATTAGTCTTCTCAAGAGACAAGGAGGTATTTGTCATTAAACTATCATTGCAAATATCAAGTTACATTTTTGGTGTAAATTGATGGCTATTCCGCTTCATATATTAAGCAAAGTATATCAAAGTCCTTCAGCTTATAAACACAGCCAAGTAAGCACTTCTGTTAAACACCCCAAAACAGACTTGACAACAATAAATACACAATTGTTCACCAGGCCAATGAAGAACTCCCTTTGCTGAATGATCTTTGGGTAGGAGGTTCAATGCTGCTCCATCTACTTTTGTACAAGGAGTAGAAAATTTGAAGGTCAACTGAAATTCTAGAGATTTAAGAGACATCAGCAATAAAGAGAAACTTGGCTACCTTACTTGTAGTTCGTTCTTCTCATGAAGGAGCATATCCACTGCTATGAGCATTACTCATGAGTTAGACCTGCTTAGTGTGCTACAATGGGGGCATCTTAGGCTTCATCCCCATACCCACCATCTTCTTCCCTGCTTGAGCTCAGACTCCCACTGCTAGACTGTTCTGGCACTGCAATCTGACACCAAAAGGTAACTTCCAAAGCTGGAACTACGTGAACTAGATAAAACACATCACCAGTATCACTACTGAAGTGCGAGGGTTAAAAGTATTATAGATAACATCTACAGTCTGGATCAGGACTACTTTCATATTCAGAGTTTTGCCCAGACCACTGGATGCCCTCTCTTATGAGAAAAGTTACAGGTAAGGGACTTAACTGTCTTTCCCTTTCATAATGAGGTATCCACTGGTTTGGCTATTACTCATGGGCATTACAAACTGCACATTTGTTTACTCCCGCTCCCTACTGTTCCCTGCCCCATCCCCCTCCCCTCACTCCCACATCCTCCTCCCCCAGCCCTATCCCACCCCATTCTGTTCCTGCCACCCCACCCCGCCCTGCCCCACCGCAGGCACTCACTGTCGTACAGAAAACAGGATAGCTCCCAGCACACAGAAGGGGAACACAACCAGCACTAGGACCCAGGAAGCGGCATCCAGCTGCAGGGTCAGCAGCAGCCAGCCAAATGGCACCCTTCTTCAGCTGGGCAGCTTTACACTTGCAGAAATGGGATGGCAGTGCCCCTGCACACCTCACCTCTGTTTGAGGGTGTAATATGCCTCCAAACTATGCCCATGAGAGTCCCCAGCTCCCACTTCCCTGCACATCTTCCCTTTGCTTCCCCATCATTTTCTGTGGGGAAGTAAATAAATCTGCAGGGGAACATGAATTCTGCATGTGCGCAGTGGCAGAATTCCCCCAGGTGTAAAAATCGAGTCATATGAAACTCCCAGCAACCTGTAGAGGAAATCCTCACTCAAACTCTCTGAAAGAGTCAGGCTCTGGTGCAGCAGTAGTCAAGAAGAGGATGTCTGAACTCAGGGGAGGGGATGAAACCTATACGTCCTCTTTTGTGGTGCCATGGTAATGTAGACCACCAGATGCACATGTATAAGAAACACTAATAAGCCAGAAAAAATATTGTGCAAAGTGAATGAAAGTGGTGTTTTAGCCAGTTCATCAAATTAAAAGTTAAGGAATAAGTAATAGCTGAAGCAAACAATTGAAGGACTACAATTTCAAAAGACACACTTTAAAACATTTTACAAAATTTAAAAGATACTTACTATTACATCAAATTTGGAATAAATATCTACAACTTTTCCTAAAAATAATAAAAAAAATAAGTTAGTAAACTGTTTTAAAAACAAAAGAAAAAAGTTAATTTCCTTGCATCCTAGTTTCATTAATTACCTTATAATTACAAGGAAAAAATTCAAATCAAGAATGAAAAAAACTTTTGACATGTTACAGTGAACATCTGGCTAACTGAAGAGGGGGGTGATATAATAAGATCTTCTAGGCCTGCTAACTTGGATTTTTCATTTGCTTATTTCTTGTATCTCAAATTATATTCTATCCCCTCCTCACCCTTGTTGTTTGATGAGCAAGTGGCTGGATGGTATAAAGACAGATTTAGGGCTGGTTTCAGCACACATAATTGTACAAAATAGCAAATTCAAAACTAAACATGCTATCACTCCCCCTTACTATATTCTTGTACAGCTTAATACATACCTGACTCATCTACAACGGGTAATGCAGATATCCTTCTGTCTACAAATATGTTCAAGGCTTTAATAATAGGAGTGTCTGGATGTATGAAGGCAATGTTGTGATAAGTTCCTATCCCAAGTTCATCCAGGTTCTTCTTCATAAAGGCAGGCTTTGGCATTTCTGACACCTAAGAGAGTTAAAAATACATTAATGCACAAATCATGGTGGATTCTCCATCACTGACAATTTTAAAATCAAGATTAGGTGTTTTTCTAAAAGATATACTCTAGGAATGATTTGGGGTACGTTCGGTGTTATACAGGAGGTTTTGTATACGTGTGCCCTCATGTCACAGCCCCGTATATGATTTTCTTTAAGGATAAGGTGCAGCTGCACCCAGCTTTCCTCCTGAAAGTGGTTTCGCAGTTTCACTGCAGTTAACCAATCTTTCTACCAGTGTTCTTCCCGAAACCACATTTGAACAGGAGCAACGTCTACAGTCTCTAGATGTTAGATGGGCCCTGTTCTATATACAAAGGACCAAGCTGTTCCGTAGATCTGCTCAACTATTCATAGTGGTAGCAGAGAGGATGAAAAGTCTCCCTATCTCCACTCAGAGAATCTTGTCCTGGATCACATTGTGTATTCGCACAAGTTATGAGCAGGCGGGCGTTCTGCTTCCAGCCAACCTGACCGCTCATTCCACAAGATCGCAGGTCTCCTTGGCTGCTTTCCTAGCGCAAGTCCCTATTCTGGACATTTGCAGGGTGGCAATCTGGTCATTCATAACACATTCTTGACTCACTATGCCAGGAGTTCTTAAACTTCATTGTGCCATGACCCCCTTCTGGAAAAAAAAAATTACTACACGACCCCAGGAGGGGGGACTGAAGCCTAAGCCTGCCCGACCTGTGCTGCCCCGAGGGGGGGAGGGGGGCGCAAAGCCCCATTGCCCCAGGGTGGGGGACAAAGCCGAAGCCCAAGGGCTTCACCCCCAGGCAGGGGGCCTGTAATCTCAGCCCTACTGCCCAAGGCTAAAGCCTTCAGGCTTCAGCCCCAGACAGTGGAGCTCAGGCTTTGTCTTTGTCCCCAGCAAGTCTAAGCCAGCCCTGGTGACCCCATTAAAACAGGGTCATGACCCACAGTTTGAGAACTGCTGCCCTGTGCCATCACCCAGCAGGCCAGAAACAGTGCTAGCTTTGGCTGAGTTCATGAACTGTGAGCCCACCTCCTATACAACTGCTTGGGAGTCGCCTATATTGGAATGGACACGTACAAGCACTGAAAGAAGAAAAAACTGTTACTAACCTTTCTGTAACTCGTGTTCTTTGAGATGCATTGCATATGTCCACTCCAAGACCTGCCGCCCTTCCCCTCTTGTCTGAGTCAGCTGATAAAGAAGGAACTGAGGGGGCATAGGGTCAGCAGGGCCCTTTATATTGGCGCTGTGCGCATGGCACCAGCAGGCACCAGAGCTAACCTGACAGATACCACTAGGGAAAAAATTTCTGGCAACTGTATTTGGGGTGTGCACACACCTACATTGGAATGGACATGTGCAACACATCTCAAAGAACAGTTACAGAAAGGTTAGTAACTGTTTCTTTCCTCATATAGATGTCTTGTGGCTAAAGTGCCCTCATATAATTGAACTTTACATGAAGAAGTCAGCATTCAATGCTTTATCTAGAGAGTTCAAATCATTATCATAGAGTTTCATACCAATCTAATAGTATGTTTGAGTTAAGCTGAAAAACAGGTTCAGATCTAAAACAATTCTATCAAAGAGGTGCAGAATTAAGATTAGAAAGTGAACTTTTTCCGTTTTGAAGCTGTATATTTATCTAACCTTATGTAATGACAACACATAATATGCATTTGACCCTAAGCTGCATCTTTTCTTTTTTCAGTCCACTGAAAGCAAAAACAACAACAACAAAAAGACAAAGCGTAATCATTCTGGACTGTGTACTTAGTTCAAAACCTGCTTTCCCATCCAAAACACCACCTACTCTGGCTGCTCAGAACATTAAGAACATAACAACAACCATACTGGGTCAGACCAAGGTCCATCTAGCCCAGTATCCTGTCTTCTGACAGTGGCCAATGCCAGGGGCTTCAGAGGGAATGAACGGAACAGGTAATCATCAAATGATCCATCCCCTGTCGCCCATTCCCAGCTTCTGGCAAACAGAGGCTAGGGACACCATCCCTGCCTATCCTGGCTAATAGCCATTGATGAATCCTCCATGAATTTACCTAGTTCTTTTTTGAGCCCTGTTATAGTCTTGGCCTTCACAACATCCTCTGGCAAAGAGTTCCACAGGTTGTGTGAAGAAATACTTCCTTTTATTTGTTTTAAACCTGCTGCCTATTAATTTCATTTGGTGGCCCCTAGTTCTTATGTTATCTAATCTTCTAAAATTCATAAGGGCTTCTGTGAACACAGTATGAACTACAGTAATTCTCTCTCGCTTCATTCTCACCACTATGACAGAAGCTGCAAGAATAACCTAAGGAAATTCCAGTCTCTCTGGAATTTGAGCTGAACCGGACATTTTTTGCAGTACTGTTACTGGAGAGAAGACAGCAAAACAATAGAATGTAGGACAGTCTGTGTCAGCTACCAACTTTTTCTAAATTGGGGGGCAGAGGGAAGGGAGAGGGGAAGAAGACAACAACAACATTTTTGATCTTTCCTTCCATCATATCTTTTCTACTGTCAAGAAAAGATGCAAAGCCACTTACAAGCAAAAATGTTCAAATTAAAGTGTTCAATCAAGAAAAGATTCCAATGAAGGGTTTACATTATTAACAGTAATAGGCTTCTATTTAAAATCAGTTAGTCAAAGTAAATTTTAAACTACTTACAAAAAGCTGGAGGAACTTGAGGATTCTTTTATGGGTAAGTATATAAAGTGCATTCCCACTGACAGGATCAATAACTGGCAATCTGTGGATTTTGTTTTTGATCAATGAATATACAGCATCAAAAAGGCTGAGGAAAAATCATTAAAACTGTTAGTGAATTCTGACCGTAAAATTCCAAAACGTACTCGGACATCATAAGAGCATCACAAAGAATACACAAGACCAATAATTATCTACCCTAATTTTCACATAAAATCCTAGAGAAATTGCAGAACTTATGCATAGCAAAAAATATCAGCAAGTTTACTTTTACTATTGTTGAAGACAAACCACATGCACACAGATATACATCAACATTTTAATAAAACTTCGGTATCAGTAAATATTGAGGGACAGTGAACCATTATAACAGAGAGGTTAGTAGAAGCAACATTTCTCCACAATTTAAGTTTTTCATTAGGACAATAGTCACTTCAAAAATAAAGCCAATTAATAGCACTCAAAACAAATGCCCTCTATTGAAAGAGAAACACACAGAGTGACAGTGTACAGTATTCCAACTCTTTTGCACTGGATGTACCTCAATCCTCAGCTGAAAGGATCACATCGGGGGAAGAGTGTTCACTTTCACTGTACACTCTTTCAAACGTTGGTTCGTGGAGACATCCAGCAATGCCAGTTTTGTATTATAAATTATTATTTGTCAATTGCCTTTCAGGATGTATACACTTGTCCACGAGAAATGGAGCCAAGATCACCATCTGATTAAACATATGCCACTGAGAGATGATTGGGCGGTGGGAAAAATGTTAGAGGGCAGTAACTCTGATTGAATTTGAAATAGTGACCAAGAGAGGAGAGGGTGTATGACATTAACAATCCCCTGAACATAAGAACGGCCATACTGGGTCAGACCAAAGGTCCATTCAGCCCAGTATCCTGTCTTCTGACAGTGGCCAATTCCAAGTGCCCCAGAGGGAATTAACAGAACAGGTAATCATCAAGTGATCCATTCTGTCACCCATTCCCAGCTTCTGGCAAACAGAGGCTAGGGACAGCATCCCTGCCCATCCTGGCTAATAGCCGTTCATGGACCTATCTTCCATGAACTTATCTAGCTCTTTTTTGAACCCTGTTACAGTTGAACCATCTTAGGCTATGTCTATACTACAGCTGGATCGACGCTCCGGCAATCAGTGCATCGGGGATCGATTTAGCGGGTCTAGCCAAATCGCCCGCAGATCGCTCTCCAGTCGACCCCCGGACTCACTCCGCCCCGAACAAGAAGCGTAAGGGAAGTCTACCGGAGAGTGTCTTTCGTCAACCCAGTGCGGCGTAGACACCGCAGTAAGTCGACCTAAGCTACGAGTAGCGTAACTTAGGTCGACTTACTGCGGTAGTGTAGACATAGCCTTACACTTCTTGAAAGCTGGAAGCACAGTAGGAACTGGAAAATGTTAGTTTGACTGCAAGACAAATAACTGATTATCAATTGTAATCATTTGAGACAAGACATTACTCATTTTTAACGTAAGGTCTTGACACTGAAGTACTGACATTTCCCAGACTGTTGGAACAAATGCTTAGGACATAGCTCCAAAAAGTTAGTACATTGATTAACACTTCTTGCATCAGTAGCATGTATTTATCAGAGTAACACTAATAGACAAATGATTTTCCTTGGTAATTAGGATTCGTGGAGTGATGTATGCAAGAATCATCTTCCCTATAGTATTTGTTTTCTCCACTAGGATAGGTATACAAGTTAAAAAGCAGTCATGTCATTGGCCCCATCCACTTCCTGACAAGTGCACTGAAGGGAATTAAACAAGGGGTTTGTGGCAAGCTCGCAAATTGCTGCAATGCTACAAGATATCCTACTGGACTCAATGCTGATTTTTGAGCGTTCTTTCTTTGAGTCACTTAAATAAAAACATGCAAAGAATCCTTCCATTCTTCGTTATCTTACTCTAGTTCACAAATTAAAATCCTGTTTCTCTTTAACGTAGATAAAGAAATCCCTAGTACTGATTCCATGATCAGCACAATTTAAAAGCAAGCAACAGAAACTTACCTTGCATCCGGGGAGATGTTCACTAAAGGCTTAAAAGTTTCTTGTAAATAAAGCTCTGTATTAAAAAAACCAAACATTTTTAAAAGTCAATGTTTTAGCTACAAGGAAGTGGACAATTACTATAATGTGTATAACAACTCCCCACTATAAAATTAAATGGATAAGAAGTTACAAAGGCTCACAATCAGACAAACATCTAGAATTTTTTTTAAAGTTAAATAAATGTACAGGGGTACTTTTGACAGTGAGCCCTCTACACTGAAGTTAAAGGGACAATCAGCAAAGGGGTCTATAGGAATTATTTAAACAAGAATTAAAGTAATGAAAAGAAGAGTATCACCACTAGGTGTCATTATAGCAATACAAAACATCATGAAGAGAAGATTCATCCATTGGATGAAGGCTTACAGTAACTGTGGTTCTTAGATGTGCTGTCTATATATATATTTTCCACTCTTGGTGCACACATGCCCTATGCAATTGAGATCGGATCTTTTGGCCAGTAGACCTGACGTCACCCAGAAAATCTAAACTAGCTAACTGGTAACAAATCGTAATACCATCTGAGATCAATTTAGATTGCCTTTAAGATGAATTGACCTGGCTCATCTTTCTCTCTGCAAAGGCAACAAAAAAATGTAGGTAAGACCCTGGATGACCGTTCTATACAGATAAAATGAGAGCGCCCTCCATACACCTAAAGAGTTGAGTCTTGCTTACCTCTGTTGGAATGTAGTTTAGGGAAGAACATTGACAGCATAAGAGGAAGTTTGAAGCCACTTTGGGGAGAAATTGTGGACTCGAGAACAAGCCTCTTTCCATGATAATCAGCCAGCCAGTATCCAGGCTCTGAGACGTAGAGAGGCTGGGTCTAGATGCCAGTTGGGGGAAGAGAGGGGAGGGAGGGACGGACTACATCTGGACTAATTGGCAATGTTAAAAGGAGACAGAATTGAAAATCTTATGAGATATCAGAATTGCCTGGCCAAGCTGATGCTATCAGGATCATTACTGCAGACTCTTGTTTTAGTTTCTTTAAAACCCTCAGTATCAGAGGATACACATACATCAGACCTGGGATCCACAAAATGAGGATTGTGTCTGAGTGTGGTCCCAGGTTCAGGCCCCTCAGAGCAACAGGTGGCACATCTCCTGTTTGTGCTTGTGGTAAATTCATGTGTGGGTAACCCCACCTGTGAAAGACTGAATTATAAAGAGTCCTACTCATGGTTTTCTGAAAACTGCCTGCTCATGTGATCTGGCTAGTGTGTTCTGTAGTCCTGGAAGGTGAACAACTATCAGAGTGATCTGATGATGGATGCACCAATTCCACAAGCAGACTAATTCCTGACAAGAAAGATGATTGTGCTCCTCCTTGCCTGCTCACATACAATGCTGGGTGTGGTTTTGTCTCTCACTCTCTACACCACTCTGCCTTGGATCAGAGGGAGAAACACTACACAAGCTAAACACATTGCTGCAAGTTCTAATATATTTCTGTGAAGAAAAGACTCAAGAGTTGTAGGATGTGATGAATGACATCTTACCTGTAGACATGAGCTCCCGCAAACAAGCCGGTCATTCAGGCAGGAACAAACTTTTATGTCTCCTTAAGTACGCTGCCATTTTATCCAAACTTTCTGTGAAAACCTTTGGGTCTGTTGATAACCCAAATGGAAAGACTCTGAACTGGAAATGTGAGCTCCCCAGTAGGAATCTCAGGAGCTTGTGTGGGCTGAGTGGATCAAAGCATGGCAATATCTTGAAGGTACAGACTCAAGGAATGGGTAGCCATTTTGAACTTGCCTCCGTGAATGAATCTGAGTTTCCTTGAGTTCAGAACTGGGCAGCATCCTATTTTTCAGTTCAAGGAAAAAGGAACAGGAATAAACACTTTCCCCCCTTTATTGAAGAGGCACTTCTACTGCTCCCAAAGTAGGACATCTCCTGATGTAATTCTCTTCTGAGAGGGATCACTGAAAAGGGATGGGGAATGTGGATGGAGGACTGGAAACATCTAAAATGCAACCTAATATCCAACCTCTACAATTTCCAGGATCCAAGAGTATGAGGCAATATTGGTCCAAGCTTCCCAAAAAAGAAAATAAACTGTGTCCAAATGAGATAGGGAAAAGGTATGTAATTTTGGGAAGCCCTCAGCTAATCATCAAACAAACACTGCTGCCGCTAAGGAAGAATGCAGGTAATTACCTGATTATAATCTGTGTATTCTTTGTTTCTTTCTCAGTGGATCTTACAGTCTTTAGTATAGAGGCTAAAAGGGGGGCAGAAGGAACCTGCCTCGAATAGGGCTGCTAAGCTTCTTTTCTTCAGGGTTGTGGGGTGTATAGACCCAAAAACCCAAGTGTAGCCTGGGAGTCCTCTGATGAGCACAACGCATCATCCACTTTCTGCTGAACAGATCACAACCCTTAAAAAGGAGGTTTCCTATAGCAGTCTGTATTTCTTTGAGAATCTGTGAGGATTGTATTCAAAATGCCTCCACTTCATTGTCATAGATGTTACCATCAATCTTGCCACAGTGTCTGAGGATAGTCCTGGTACCTTCTCTCTACCTTTTTTAGATTTCAGTGGAACAGATGCAGGAGTCTGCTATAAGCACCGTGCAGGTTATAAGAGTCCTTCACTGAGTGGCATAGACAGTCTGTCGGGCATTCAGGTGCACAGGATGTGTAACTGTTTATGGAATTTCTCTTGCACTAACTCAGCTGTAATGCCTAACGGCTCTGCCATCTGACAAAAGAAGGTCTTGAAAAGCCTTGTAGTTGTTGGGGTGATGGAGCAGATGGGACCATAGCTTTGTCAGGGGATGACAATGAAATGGCAGCAGGGGCAAGTTCAGCTTACTGATGATTTTTTCATCAGAAACTTGTAATAGTTGAGGATCAGCAAGTGACATCTGGGATTGCTAACGCTGTTGGACCTTCAGGGAAGGAGATAGGCCCTGGAGAGGGCAGAGGAAGGTTTTCTGGTGTGATGGAAGCCCCATAGTGCCCACAATGGCCATAAATGACAGCTATAAGCTAAACGAGTTGAGGGCCACAGGGAAGGTACCAGGTCCCCTCCTTATATCCCCTATATCTACTAGGGTAAATTTTGAGCCTTGGACTTCTTATTGGATGTAGAAGGGCTAGATAAAAGAGATCTTGGAGCATGTGAATGAACCCTCCCCAGTGCGGTCTGAAGTGGATAAGAAAGAACACTTTTCTTCCAATAGTGGAGCTGATTTGGCAGGCATCCCAGGTCCTGATCTAGGAAAATCTTTAGATGATCCAGAAGACCTACTCGGTACTGAGGAAATGTCAGTGGTGTGTACAGATAAGGGAATGTCCACAATCAAAGGTAACAACTGTGACTCAGGGAGGGCAGACAAAAGTAGATTCCCCCTTCTCCCCTTGCTTCCCCCCCCCCCAAATACAGTGAATCTCTGTCTCAAGACTGTTGGTACCGTGAGCAACAATTCAGAAAGTTAGGAAGTCGCTGGTACAGGAACAGTAAAAGCCTTGATGTCAGTACTGGGCATCCCAAAGGCAGTGCCGTGCAGTGTATATTGGAGACTGCTTTGAGGGTGCTCCTTATCTGGTACCGGTGTATGGAGTCTTTTTAGGTGACAGAGGATCCCAGCTTCAGCTTTGTACCAGGAAGGCTGAGGTGATTTATGCCTTTTCTTTTTGCCAGGTTCCTAACACCTGTATATATGCTCTTTAGAAGAGTGGTGCTGTATCCTACCAAATCAGTCACTGAAGAGGACTCGGTAATAATAGCAGAAGAAGAATGCTTCAGAAGAGGAGTTCTAGAGCTGGCCATAATGTCCACACTTATCGGGTACTTCTGGTGGAAGACTGCTCAGATCTGGGTAAATTTCGTTTACCTGGATCAGAGGCAGGTCTCATTGATTTGTCCAGCAGATAAAAGTTTTAGGTGAGTCTCTATTGCCTTTTTAGTGTGTTTAGAAAATGACTGACAAACAGTCCATGTATCAGTAATATGCCCCCACTCAGGCATAACAGGCATCTTGTATGTCCATCATTGAGGGACATAGCCACCTCACAAGATGGACAATATTTGCACCACAGATATTTTTGCTCAACCATAAGGGCTGTAGTTTGGTACCAGGAATAAAAAGCCCTGCTACCCAGAACAGAAGCCCATTAAAACCTATCTATCCTAAATACCAAGGCCTATACTAAGAAGATAACTATTTACACAATTTTTTTTAAGCTTGCAAGAGAAACTACGAGCAGTGTCACTCTTCCTCACAGCCTTGGGTGGGTGGTAAGGAGGAACTCAGGGTCAGCTGGCCCCAGCATGCTAATCTTGAGTGCACATGCATCAAGAGTGGATTTTATATTTAGATTTATATGAAACAAACACTAAGAACTTTTAGCTGGTGATTTTTAGAAGACTAAGTTGACAATTTTAAAGTTAATCAACTTTTTGATTTTCAATGTTTTGCTTAACTCCTTTAAATCAGCATGAAGTGATGATAAAATGTTGTATGACAATCATCTCTATACAACATCATTAAATGTTAGCTTACAATTCTCTTTTCTAAGTTGTCATTTTTAAAAGGTAACTAGCTCATGACTATAAAATATATTGGAAATTGCTACCACAATTTATTAAGAGATTTTAAAAACCGTAGGCAGTTGGAGAGCGTTTATATTTAGGAACAGTTCATTAAGTGACATGAAGTTAAACAAAGTCCTTCTCAAGCTCTCACACAACGATTAGTTATAGCTCATGATGTGACCGTCAAGTGAACACTAAGAGCTTTCAAAGCAGGATACTGTAATATTGATTGTGAAGGTGTTATTGGGAGAAGGTACAGTATATAAACCCACCAAGATCCAAACAAGTTAGTTTAAGATTTACTCATCCTATAAAAGATACTTGTGTTTTAAAACAAAAACGACTTCTGTAAGTCAGTCTGAAAACAGGACCTTTCTTTCACTAGAGTTTATTACCACCACCACCAATACAGACAAGATTATTATTTCAAGTGCAAAAATAAGCAGTGTGAGCAAACAGACTAACTCTAAATATTTCTTGTTTTCATTCAAGTATCTTAGTAAGAGACAGCTTAAGTATATGAATAACCAAAACGATTTTCAGAGATAATTTTAAGTTTCCTTAACAGGCATCAATGGATCTTAATAGAAATGTTCTCACCCCTCCATGTTTCAATCTTGTGCTCCTCCAATTCATAGATCTGAACCTACAATGAAAACATGAAAGTCTATAATGCTTAAAACATTGTCCAATCCCAAGCAAAAGAAAGTTAGGTTTTAACAATAACTTTCAGATCTGAATTATTTCCTTACTTTTTACTGCAGATTCACTACTGCATAAAGTCAAAGTTGGTCATAATTTTTGAAATATACTGGCCCATGAAGAGCAGAACTTACTGGCACTAAGGGCTGGTCTACACTTACCCGGTAGTTCGGCGGCGAGCGATCGAACTTCTGGGTTCGACTTATCGTGTCTTGTCTGGACGCGATAAGTCGAACCAGGAAGTGCTCGCCGTCGACTGCGGTACTCCAGCTAGACGAGAGGAGTACCGCGGAGTCGACGGGGGAGCCTGCCTGCCGCGTGTGGACCGAGGTAAGTTCGAACTAAGGTACTTCGAACTTCAGCTACGTTATTCACATAGCTGAAGTTGCGTACCTTAGTTCGAATTAGGGGGTTAGTGTAGACCTGGCCTAACACACAGTAAACAAGAGCAACACTTCCCAGCACTAGGTTTAAAGACATATACCAAGTGATTATAGCATATTGTATCTTAGAAAAAAGTGCACAAGCCCCCCAGTTTTAAAAAAACTCCTTGCAGGTCACTTTTAAAGGAAGATTGATGAACAGTGTTTATCTGTATTAAGTCATTGAAAAGACCCAGTAATGAAGGATAAAAGTGCGAATTACAACCGTTGGGAATAGGCCATTTCCACCTTGATTGAATTGGCCTCGTTAGCACTGACCCCCCCCCCCCCCCACTTGGTAAGACAACTCCCATCTTTTCATGTGCTGTAATATATATACCTGCCTACTGTATTTTTCACTCCATGCAGCGGATGAAGTGGGTTTCAGTCCACGAAAGCTTATGCCCAAATAAATTTGTTAGTCTCTAAGGTGCCACAAGGATTCCTCGTTGTTTTTGCGGATACAGACTAACACGGCGACCCCTCTGAAAACTGAGGTAAATGCCTTTTCCTCTTTGTGACAATACTGACCCAGCACTCTACTGAACTAACGAACTATTGCCCCTGGAGTCGTCTTAATTGGGAGATGGGTGCTCAATGACTTAATTAGGCAGGAGGCTGACAAGCTAATGATAACAATGAACCCATGAACTGGGGAAAGTTAAAAGATAGCAAGGAAGTGCAAGGGGGAAGCTAACAGGAGCCTGGGGATACTGGATCTTTCCCTCTCCCTCTACAGAAAGTGGGCTAAGGGGCAAGTTTATATGCACTTAAATATTGCTGCACAAGGCTGTACTGATGAACTGTTGGAGGGGACCTAATAAATAACACTGGTGCTTATAATCTTAGAAAGCGTCCAGACTGTGTGTGATGGTGGTCCAAAAGGCAGAGAAGGTAGCCTTGTTATACCCCTAAAGGAATAACTGGGGACATGGCTGAATTTTTATTCTGTAAGACTGTTGGACCAGGGAATTTCTGTATTAGAACCATAACGTGTATGTGTATCACAAGTCTGAGGCCAAGAGAGACAAGGGGTAAGATTGAATTCAATTGAATTCCCCACAGCTTAGGCCTCTCGCTTTTTCCATTTTTGTGTCCCTCCCTCTCTGTGAGAAACATGCAAGGCCAAACTGCTAATTGTGTTAACACATCCTAAGACAGAAAGTCTGTTCTCAAAAACAACTGTAATTGTTCTTCCAAACAGAACACAGCTTATAATTTGTTTGCTATGTATGTTAAAGTTTAAGTAGATTTGCAACATCCTGAGAGTTACTGGAAGTTAAGAAATAGTAAAGTAATAAGTGATAAATGTATGTTAAAATAGAGGATGTATGTGAATGGATGCTTGATTTAGATAAAGGATAAATTGATTTAGATAAAGAATGAATGGTCAGGGAAGTGCCAGCCTAAGAATTACAACTTCAGTCTCGATTGGCCAAAGAATATGCAGACTAGAGATAACCCCCGGAGGGCAGGCCAGAATCCACCCAAGTGCCCCCCGCCCCCCCCCCCCCCCCGGATGGAGGGCTGAAGACCCGAAGAACAAGATAATACTCAGACATTCAGACATCAGGGATGTGCCACCTGCTGATTGATAATCACCTCAAACAAACATCAGCAGGATGAAGCAATTCCCATAGACTTGTATAAGGACAAAATCCTATAAGAACAGACTCTAAAAACTGAAAATTTTGAGTCTGGTTTTGCAACCACCCTCCAGGAGCATCAGATGCGCATCTGACAAGGACTCAGCTCCACCTTCGTGTGTAGGCTACCTGGCCAGTACTCTGCCACGAGCAACCTCTAAGCTGGTAACTATAACAACTCTGCAACACTTGTATGAATGAGTGTGTGAGTGAATAAGGAATAGTAATGAAATAATATTGAATTGCACATCCTGATTTCTCTCTCTCTCTCTCTCTTTGTAATAAATGTGGCATTTTGCCTTATCTACCTTATAAGATCCTGTTGGTATTATTTTATTAGTGTAACAAGACTTCATTTCCCCTTGTACAAGAGAAAGCATGAAGATAATGTTATGATTTTTCAACCACAGCTGGTGCTTTGTTCTCATTATTAAAACCTACTGAAGACCACATTTTTGCCCTCCCCAGCCTCTGTCACACTGCCCAATTTCTTGTTGCTCAAATGGCAGCCTCCTGCAGCTCTGGCTCCAGACATCGTTATATGACCTCCCCAAGGTTGTTAGTGGCCTTCTGCAATTCACTGACAGTTTCCTGAATATACTTTTAGCAGCTTTGTCTGTGAACCAATTATTGCTAAGTCATGATTACCACCTTTAGAAAACCTAGACATGTCTAGACATGTTAGTTTGAGGCTCAATAACAGCTACGGCCCTGGCTCTACTCTGGGCCAAGGTGCCCTCACCCCTCTCATGAGTCATCTTCAGGTATTCCTGAGACTTTAGTATTTAGAGGCATTGGGCAAATTAGGATAGTTCATCTACTAAATTAAACCACTAAACTGCTAGGGGCCACCCTCATAAACATGATCATTCCTGCAATCGCCATCCCTTGAAATGTGCCAGAAGATGCTGACTAGTTGACACAGATTACCTAAAGGAACCATTTCTAGAAGCAATACAAAAGCAAGATATATATGTAAGTAAAACAAACTGGTTTTCAGAGTATTTGCAAACAGCAAAACAGGTGAGATATTTCAGCTTGATTCAGTCTAGCTAAGCCATCAGAAATCTTGTTAAAGGCTGATGAGATGAAGTTACACCTGTTATTATGACCACATTTTGAAGAGAATATTCCTAAAGCATTAAAACCTGGCTCAGGATTCAGAATATAGTTTGACTTTTGTTGACAGTTGCAGCAGATGGTAGGAATGCTTTGAGAAATTATAGGAATGTTTGTGGCAATGCAAAAGCCTTGAACTTTCTACAAATCCCTTGGCAATGGTGTTTTGATGCCTTTATGCAAAATAGAAATGCATTTATTTGAGGTAAAAAACTCCCCTAACTTTCCTCATAAATGGTTTAAAGAGGTTATCCAATACTTGCACAATGACACATGTTGGGCTTCGGAGAAAATTCAAGTGGAATGTATGTAATTCACTTGTTGCATTAATACAGCAGCAGAAGAGGTTTTTATTGCCCTTACAAATATACAAACCGCAATGATTTTAAGATTGTCAAGCTTAATTCAAAGCAGTGAAGTAACTCCAGCTTCACAAAATTAAGAGAATTCAGAGTATTCTAATTTAAATTTACAGTTATACTGGATTTGCATTCAACTGCTACATAAAGAAAAATCATTAATTTAGGGGCAGATTCTGTAACCCTTACTTATCTTGAGTCATACCTTGCTACATAAGTAGTCCTACTGACTTCAATGGGTTAACTTGTGCAAGTGCAAACCAGTAAGAATAACAGTTGCACAATCTGGTCCTAAGTGGTGTTATTAATGTTAAAGACTGGTTTACAGTTGTTTAAGAAAAATACATTAAGACAATTTATTTTTACTAGAACAGGAGCACCACAATACTAAAATATACAGAGATTTTGTAGGAGACTCTGTACTAACCATTTAGGACCAAATTCTGCCACCTTTACTCTGGTTGACTAGCCCCTTACTATGCAAGTAGCTCCATTTTAAGTCTAGTCTATGGGACTACTTGTGGAATAGGGTGCTACATAATTTAAGTAAGGGGAGCAGAATTTGGCTCTCAGATAATATACTCTATGCAAAGATAAACTGGTATTACCAAAAGCTGAGAATTAATATTACAATATGGAAACTACTACTTCTCAATGAACAGTCCCTCCAAATTGTTGTTCTACTGTAAGTCACCAAGAAAAATTCTAGTTGTTAGTTTCTTAAAATGGTGACAGTACCTTGTGTCAAACTCCTTGCAGCCAATACAGTAAATAAAATCCCTTGTGTTAACTGCAAAATGGAAGTGGTTTGACCAGTTTTGCAAAACCTACTTCAATTGTGATTTTACCCAATTATTCCTTGTTATTTTGTAACAAGACAAAAATGTGGGAGGTTGTTTTTTTTTTAAAGTAAGCTAATAATTGATTTGGGCAATTGGGACGCAGCAGCAGCAAGAAAATGGCAAGCACATGAGTGTATATGTAAACAAGATAGCTAATGGGAGTTTTAAAACATAGCTAGCTCCAGTCAAACTGAATGTCTGGAACTGATTGGTTCAAGTTACTTTGGCTGAGTTCTACCACAAACACAACAGACATCAGCACACATGTAACTCAGTTACCGTATTATTTATCATGTAAACATACTTCCTTATTCACTTTCTCCACATCATACATGATTTTATAGACTTCCACCATATTCCCCCTTAGTCATCTCTTTTCCAAGATGAACAGTCCCAATTTTTAAAACCACTCCTCATATGGAAGCTACTCCATACCCCTAACCTTTTTTGTTGCCTTTCTCCATACTTTTTCAATTCTAATATATTTTTGTGAGATGTGGCAACCAGAACTGCACATAGTACTCAAGGTGTGGGCATACCATGAATTTATACAGTGGCATTATAGTATTTACTGTCTTATTATTTATCCCTTTCCTAATGGTTCCTAACATTGTTAGCTTTTTTGACTGTCACTGCTCACTGAGCAGATGTTTTCACAGAAATATCCATAATGATTTCAAGATCTCTTTCTTGAGTGGTAATGGCTAATTTAGACTCCATCATTTTGTATAGCTGGGACTATGTTTTCCAATATGGATTACTTTGTATTTATCAACACTGAATTTCATCTGCCATTTTGTTGCCCAGTCACCCAGTGTTGTGAGATCCCTTTGTAACTCTTTCCAGTCAGCTTTGGACTTACTATCTTGAGTATTTTTTATCATCTGCAAACTTTGCCACACCTCACTATTTATCCATTTTTCCAGATCATTTATGAATACATTGAACAGCACTGGTCCCAATACAAATCCTTGAGGGACCCTGCTATTTACATCTCTCCACTGTGAAAACATGCTTTATTCCTACCTTTTGGTTCCTATTTTTTAACCAGTTACTGATGGAGGAGATATCCTTCCCTCTTATCCCATGACTCCTACTTTGCTTAAGAGTCTTTGATGAAGACCTTGTCAAAGGCTTTCTGAAAGTCCAAGTACATTGTATCTACTGGATCACACTTAACCACATACTTGTTGATTCCCTCAAATAATTTAATAGATTGGTAAGGCATGATTTCCCTTTACAAAAGCAGTGTTGACTCTTCCCCAACATATCCTGTCCATCTATATGTCTGATAATTCTGTTCTTTACTATGGTTTCAACTGATTTGCTTGGTACTGAAGTCAGACTTACTGGCCTGTAATTGCCAGGATCACCTCTGGCACCTTTTAAAAAAAAAATCCTTGTTATATTAGTTATCTGCTAGTCAACTGGTACAGAGGCTGATTTAAGCAATAGATTACATACCACAATTAGTAGTTTTTCAATTTCATGAGTTCCTTAAGAACTTTTGGGTGACTACCATCTGGTCCTAGTGACTTATTACTGTTCAGTTTATCAATTTATTCCAAAACCTCCTCTACTGACACCTCAATCTGGGACAGTTCCTCAAATCTGTCACCTAAAAAGAATGGCTCAGGTTTGGGAATCGCCTTCACATCTTCTGCAGTGAAGACTGATGCAAAGAATTCATTTAGCTTTTACACAACAGCATTGTCTTTCTTGAGTGCTGCTTTAGCACCTTGGTCATCCAGTAATGCCACTATTGTTTGGTAGGCTTCCTGCTTATGATAAACTTTAAAAAAAATTTGCAGAGAGTTTGTGTGTCATTTGCTAGTTGCTCTTCAAATTCTTTTTTGGCATGCCTAACTATACTTTTACACTTGATTTGCCAGAGTTTATGTTCCTACTGAGGAAAATAGAAAGGATCTGACTTCCAATTTTTAAAAGATGTCTTTTGACCTTTAGCTGCCTTTCACGCTATTGTTTAGCTGTGGAGACTTTTTTTGGTCCTCTTCCTGCTTTTTTTATTTGGGGTATACATATAGTTTGAGCCTCTCTTACGGTACAGGTTGCAGGCCTTTCACTCTTGTGACTGTTCCTTTTAATTTCCATTTCTAGCCTCCTCATTTTTATGTACTTCCCCTTTCTGAAGTTAAATGCTTACTGTGGTGGGTTTCTCTGGTACTCTCCTCTACAAGGATGTTACATTTATTTACATTATGGTCGCTATTATTGAGTGCTTCAGCTACATTCACCTCTTGGACCAGATCCTGTGTGCCACTTAGGACTAAATCAAGAATTGCCTCTCCCCTGGTGAGTTTCAGGACTAGCTGCTCCATGAAGCAGTCATTAATAGTGTCTAGAAATTTTCTCTCTGCATCCCATCCTGAGGTGACATGTTCCCAGTCAATATGGGGACAACTGAAATCCCCCTTTCTTATTCAGGCTTCTGTTTTTGTAGTCTCTCTAATCACCCTGAGCATTTCACAATCACCGACACCATTCTGGTCAGGTGGTCGGTAGTATATTTCTACTGCTATACTCTTAATATTCAAGCATGGAATTTCTATCCATAGAGATTCTATGGTACTGTTTGATTCATTTAAGATTTTTACCTTATTTGACTCTATGCTTTCTTTCACATATAATGCAACTCCCCCACTAGTGCGACCTTTTCTGACATTCCTATATATTTTGTACTGTGGTATTACCAAACCCCATTGATTATAATTGTTCGACCAAATTTCTGTGATGCCTATTACACCAATATCCTCATTTAATACCAGGCACTCAAGTTCACCTATTTTAGTATTTAGACTTCTTGCATTTGTATACAAGCACTTATAAAATTTGTCCATATTAGTTGTCTGCTTTCATGTGATGTAATGTAATGGGACTTTTTTTCATTTGACTGTTTCTCTTCAGTTCCTACCTATACTTTATCAACTTCTATCCTCTCCTCTTTACTAGACTAGGTAGATAGAATATCCTCTTTAATAAATCCTCTCCTAAGGGCTGTTTCTGTCTGATCCGTGTGCTCCTCTACATCTGTCTGCTTTCCCCCAGCCCTTAGTTTAAAGACTCCTCTAAGTCCTTTTTAATTTTGCATGCAAGCAATATAGTTCCATTTTGGTTTAGGTGGAGTCCATCCTTCCTGTGTAAGCTCCTCCTTTCCAAAAATTTACCCCAGTTCCTAATAAACCTAAATCCCTGCTGCAAATACCATTGTGTCATCCACACATTGAGACCCTGCAAGTTCTGCCTGTCTAAATGGCCCTAGGCATGGAACTACAAGTATTTCAGAGAATGCTGCCATGGAGGTCCTGGACTTCAATCTCTTACCTAGCAACCTAAAACTGGCCTCCAGGACCTCTCTCCTACCTTTCCCTATGGCATTGATACCTATGTATATCATGATCACTGGCTCCTCTCCAGCACTGCACGTAAGTTTGTCTAGATGTCTCAAGAGGTCTGCAACCTTTGCATCTGGCAGGCAATTTACCACGTACGTCTTCCAGTCACCATAAACTCAACTATCTCTAATAACTGAATCCTCCATTACTATTACCTATTTCTTCCTAATAACAGGGGTCCTTGCACCTTGAGAGGTATCCTTAGTGTGAGAGGATACTATGACATCATCCGGAAGAAGGGTCCCTACTATGGGAGCATTTCCCTCCGCTCCAGCTTGATGTTCTCCTTCCCCAAGACTTTCATCCTCCTCAACAGCACAGAGGCTATCAGACTGAAGGTGGGACCACTGTACTATGTTCCAGAAAGTCTCGTCTATGTACATTTGTCTCCCTTTGCTCTTCTAGCTCAGCTACTCTGGTCTCAGGAGCCTGTACTTGGTCCCTGAGGGCTGCAAGCTGCTTGCAACAAATGACTAAAAAAAAAAATTAAATGGTGAAAAGTGTAGGACAAGTTTTTCAAGTAATTTAATTTAAAACAAAACAAAAAACAAAACAAACAAGTTTTTGCTTTTAGTTGATTCCCCCCGTAAAAAAAACTCCCCTTAGGTTTTCCTTCCAGATGGTGGGAGACGCTGGCCATGCCCAGTTATCTACTGTGGGTGGCTTATGTATAGGTCTCAGTTTTTAATCCTTGCACGAGGGGATCCCACCCTTTGCAGGGCTTCTTATGTCTCTGCTGATGGGGGATCAAAAGGAAAATAAATGTTTCAATGCACCCAAGATTAACTTCTTCCCAGAGCCAACTCACGGCGGAAAAGGCCAGCAATACTTATTTACTTCAGGGCTATTTGAGTAGCAGTTTTCTAGGAGTTCTTCTGGCTGGGTAGCTGAATTGGGCTCACTCTGTCAGGCTTACCTAGGCAGTTCACTGCACTCCCCATAGGGTTGGGGGAGGAGATCTCCTAGATGGGAATTCCACCTATGGCTTCAGGAGTTGCTACAGCTGTTTCCTACTCTGGGTGACCTCTCCCCCTAGCTAACTGCAGTTTCCTCCTCTTTAAAGCCCTCCTCCTACATGACATGATTGTCAGAGCTGGAGAGGCAGGGCTAGCCCTGAACACAGAGCCTCTCAGGCACCTTCCTCATCAGTGTGCGATCTATAGAACTCATCACTCCCACCAATCTCCCTTTTTTTTGTCCACCTGAATAATGTTGTATGTGATTCAACATGTGCAAATCACTTATTTTGAATCAAATGTACAATAAAACTCTAAACAACTATGGTCAAATATTTTTTCTAAGTACTTTTCACACTAAATCACTTTTACATAGAATCACTATTTTACACTGAGGTTTAATTAGACCTTTTACGCCAAAAAAAAAAAAGATGTCTTAGTAGTAGTAGGATTCTAATAGTGCCTAAAGTTCAAAACCAACCAAGATTCTGTATCTAGATCCAGCCAAGATGATGGCCCCCCTGTGGCAGGCACCATACACACATAACACAAGACAGTCCAGGCCTCGAAGAGTATAACTAGAAAAGGCAAATGGGAAAGAAATGTTACCCACCTTTACAGATGGGAAACTGAGGCAGAGAGGGGCTAAGCAATTTGCCCAAGATCACAGCAAGTCTGTGGCAGAGCTGGAAATTTAACCAGAGTCCCAGTCCAATGCTTTGACCACAAAGCCATCCTTTCCTCTCAAAAGCACAATAAAGCATTTCTATAGCAAGTTACGCTCCTAAAGGCTGTACAAATTTTAATAAATTTTCAATGCTTTTGATTTGCATTGATGCATGCTATGGTTGTTAATAATACAATTAAAGCCTGATATGGTACTTACCATTGGAGACTTATAGTATCTATGCAGTATATTAATGAAATCTGTAATTGTTAACATTCCTGTAACAAGTGGAAAAAAATATAACAGCATTTAGAAAAGGCATCTGAAAATTATCTGAAGTATGTTTTTATGTTTTTTAAAATATTTACTTCTAAGCTGGTGTAGTTCACATTGTGGAGTAATTGAACACAACACTTTAAGAGTTTTATAAATGGCCAATCATTTGAAAAGCGTGCATACTAAATTCTCCAAGTTAGCACTGACACAATAGACTATAACAGAAAGAATAGACTCTGTATTGGTAGAAGCTGGAACCAAACCCCCGGATCTGGATATTGCAGCTGGCCCTTTTCTCTAACAGTTTTAGTCAAACAAAACCCTGAACTAGGATTGCTTCCCACCCCCCTGCCCCTGCATTTTTTTTTTTGGAGGGGGGGGAGGGGAAGATAAAAGGTTTCAAAATCCAGTTATGCAGTTTGGGACTCAGGTCCACTACTAGTCTCTTTTGTGAGTCCAACATTCACTTAAAGAAAATACAAGCGGTAGGTAGATTCATAGATATTAAGACCAGAAGAGATTATGGTCAGCCAGTCTGACTTCCTGTATAACACAGGCCAAACAACATCACTCAATAATTGCTGCAGCAAGATCACAACTTCTGTTTGAACTATACCATATTTTCTGGAAAGATATCCAGTTATAATTTAAAAGGCTAAGTGACAGTCCATCATATCCTTAGGTATATAGAATAATGCAATTTCCATCAGTAATACCAAGTTATCAAAAACAATGTTTTTTTATTGTACTGAAGTCCTACAAACTGAGCAAATATCATTCCACCTGACTGATTACTACTCCTACAGCTGAACTTCTGAAAGACATATGAACAAGTGTTCAGGGGGAAAATGTCAATTTCTAGAAGTCAACTTTAATTGACCAGAAATCTGAGATGAGCCGAAATCAAAATTCAGCATTGATCAAGGCACACAGTCCTTCATAAAATTACTAGTGCTTCCCATGGCTTTGAAATATTAAGTTCTTTATAAAATATCTTTATAATCTATTTCCAAGAACCTCTCAATCTACATGTCAGGTTACACAGAAAGTATTTATAACTGTCACTATGATCCTGTTTTTCAAATGTGATATTGACATAATGCTATATTCCAAAATTAAAGAAGTGTTAAAGAAAGCGGCTATGGCTTCTAAATAGCAATATAAGGAGCCAAATGCATTTCTAGCCCTCTCAGGATGAACCTAAGTTATAGCATTCCACAGTAGTTCTGTGTTTAATGCTTTTTTGCTCTGCAATCCATACAGAACACAGTTTGAGATATACATGTATTCTGAACAGCTTACTAGGATATTAAAATAAGACAGTGAAGTAAATTAATTTAAAGGGAAAAAATTGGATTGTGTCTTTTTATGGGGGTAAAGAGACCTTTCAGGCCTTCTTTATTCACCACAAAGCAACACAAGAACATAAATCCAGTTTGTTTCTTTACATGTTACCTGTAATACACAAATTGGGGAGTTTTACTTCATCTATAGTAGACTCTGAAGCAAATAAGCAGTTGGGCTTAACGCTACATTTTTTTTCTATGTACATCAAAGCCTTCGAGGAGATCATCACCATGTTACTGTGCAGTCACGCATGCATATTGGAAAGTGATGACAGTGAAGAAGGTAAGTAGATAAGTAGGTAAGGTGGTAGACTTTATGGCTGGCCCAGCTGTATGTATAGTAAACAATGCTTCCAGTTTGAAGAACATTTTCATTGGGCTAGTCAGCCTTTATGTATATTAGTTAAGACTGGAAAAGAGAATCTTAAAACGTTGGTGAAACACTACTCCTTCAGAATGGACAACTAGCATTACCCAGGTTACATCTCTTGAGATGATTAAAAATCTTACTTGTCAGTTATTGTAAAAGGCTATTTTTTGCTGAGAATATTTATATATTTAAAATGTAAATGAAAGGGATTTGAAAGGTGCCCTGAAAACCAGCTAGATTTTTAGGCTGGCATTTTCAGAAAAGTCTAAGGGAATTAGGTGTCCAATTCCCACTGAAATCCATTGGCAGTTGGGTTCCTAACTCCCTTAGGTGCCTCTGAAAGTCCCTGCCTCAGTATTCTGCCTTTGAGGTCTCATGCTACACCCTCCAATTCCCAACCCCTGGAATGGTAAACATAAGAAAGCAACCAACCAGTTGGGGCCCCACATCTCACTGGTCAGGCTTACCTAGTATTTCCAAACCCAAGTGCTCTAAAAAGTCATGAGTCAGGCCCATCAAAATCATGAAATTTCAAAAAGTGTGTGTTCTGTTTTTTGAGCCCTTGTGGTTCATGTCTTCAAGTTCTTGTCTGCAACCCATGAGATCTGGAACGTTACTTTTATTTTTAAATGAAAGTGGAGATTCTCATGTAGCTACCTGAGTTCAGCAGCTGAAGCTCTAAGAAGAAAAAAAATCACCACGTTTTGAGAGACTCACGATAAAGTCACAGGAATTAGCAACACTTCAACCTGCTGGAGGAGTAAGAAAACTCACCACCAGATGCATTTCCAGGATATACAACACAACACAGCTAGCGTTGGCTCCTTTCTCTACCACAACCCCGCAACCGCACATTAACTCCCCGCTGAAAAACACCAGCTCTCCTTACCTACAAAACTCTGTTTTTTACTCTCCCACAGTGGAGCTGCTCGAACACCATTTGCCACCAAGGCAAAGAAAGCCTTCTTTACCTGCCAGAAGAAAAAGCAACCAAACAAAACCTTATTGACATTACGCCATCATATTAGAAGAAACCAGCAAGGTAGTATATGTAGAATCACTGGTAAGAATGCAGTTAATCAGTGGATAGTTTGTGTTTAAAAATAAAATACATTTTTTTAAATAGTTAAATGCTGACTAAAAACAAGATAAAGATTTTTATATTATGCTGTTGTGTCTTTTACATGACAGTCTCTGATACACAAATAATTAGGTGTGGCTGGAAAAGTATGTCCACACTTTACCTTAAATTTGCTTCTTTCATCAGTTTTATGTCATACACTTAAAGGTGATACACAAACAGACTGGACTTTAAAAAAAACAAAAACAAAAAAAACCATCTGTGATAATGTAAGAGAGCTCTCAGACTACCAGCTCAAGAATATAGTTTGACAGAGATTGTAATGTCTTTAGAAAGACTATATTGAGTCACCTGAAAAGTAGTTAGTTGAACTTTCTTAGTAGCAACATTTGCATGAGAAAAGGTAGAAACGGAACAGAAGTCTCATTTCCACTCCTGTTCCTGTCAGTTTTTGAGCTCTTGAATGATTATACAAGTTTCTTAAAAGAAAAAAAGAAAACTCAGCTTCATCTGATTAAGTTGTCCAACAAGTTAGTGAGTTTTGCTGCAAGATAATCATGGGGCACACATTCTCCCTCCTACTTAAAATAATTTTCTTATCTCAGTTTCAAAGTCACAGGTTATAAATGCTGTCTTTAAAATAAAAATAATCCTGTGAAATTTGTGAACATGGATTACATGCATCAGATGGTCGCATTTTTTAAAAAGTTATTGAATGTTAGACAAAATCCTTCATGAGTATTATCTGATAAAGACAACAGATGAGAAATTCCTCCCTCCTCAACAGAAGCATTCTTTGAGGGCAAGAAATGGTCATCCCTTCAGAGAAGGGCCAACAAAAATCAGAAGGACAGAGTTTGATGAGTATTAGAAGGGGTAAAAAAATAAGTCCTTGGGGAGAACACAGAGCAGAGAAATCAACTCACGTACAGACACATGAAGCTGGAGAAAGGGAAAATTCTGTCTTATCTGTGAATTTTCATTCAAGGACACTCCATGTCAGAGTCCTCATAGTGGGGCATTCTCTGGAGGCAGACTAAATCTTTGTTCTGAGTCTGGGTTTAGGATCACCCCTCAGGAATAACTTCAGGACAGCTTCCAAAGCTGAAAAATACTAACTATAAGAGAGCTATTTAACTCAAATAATTTGCAGCAGAGCCTTGACATGAAATTTTGGGGCTTCCTGGAGGAACACCATCCTTCCCCTTCAAACCACTTAACAAGTGAGCAATAGTCAGACAAAACAACCCTATGCAATCCCTACATGGGCCAAATTATCTGACATGGAGTCCTAGAATGAATGTTCATAGGTAAGGCAAAACTTTCACTTTCTCAATCCCCTCCATGCAGTGCAATGCAGAAAGCAATAAGCCATCACCACCATCGCCAGGGAGGGACAATTCAACCATGTTCAGTAAAAACTTTGTTATCCGGCATGTTGGATAAATGGGGAGTGCAGGTAAGTCAAAAATTCCAGTTAACTAAGAGGGAGGGAGTTTGGGTGAGGGCTCTGGGCTGGGGCATGGGAGGGGATGCGGGCTCTGGGAGGGAGTCTGGATGCGGGAGGGGCTCACGGCAGGGGGTTGAGGCATGAGAGGGGCTTTGTGGTGCCGGATCTGGGCGGGGCTCCCCTCAGGCGGCTCCCTGAAAGTGGCGACGTGTCCCTGCTGCTCGAAGGCGGAGGCGCGGCCAGGCAGCTCTGCATGCTGCCCCCGCCCACAGGTGCCGCCCCTGCCCGGAGGCGCCGCCCCCGCAGCTACCATTGGCCACGGTTCCTGATCAATGGGAGCTGCAGAGCCAGTGCTCGGGGCGGGGCAACGCCCGGAGCCCCTGTGGCTGTTCCTCAGCCTAGGAGCAGCAGGGACATGTCGCCACTTCTGGGGAGCCACACGGAGCCAGGTAGGGAGCCTGCCGACCCCAAGCCAACCGGACTTTTAATGGATATCAGAAATGCCGGTTTCTAGACCTTTCCGGTTGGTAAAGTGCCGGATAACACAACTTTTACTGTATTATTGAAATGGAAATTAAGGACTACTGAGGCCTCCTGTTCCTTAAGGCCCTTCTTTACCAAACCTGCATCATTGGGGTTGAGGATGTTGACTCTACAGTGTTTGAGACAGTGTGGATGGAAGGCCCTGTAATAGCATTGCAGACCACCTCAGCTTTAGAGAGGTCTCCTGCACTTTAGAGGATCTAGAGGGGAGACTCTCTCATAATAGATTTTAAGACTTTATGTTGCTCTTTTAAAGAGATGATTTGAGCAATATCCTTCACCGGTACTGGGCCAAACCCCCTGTGAGGGGCAAGAGTGATTTACCAGGAAGATTGAAAGGACCGTCTGCAGGCAAGTCTCCCTAAAGAAAATAGATAATTTATGACCTCCTGTGGGACCTCAGGGGCTGGAAGGGGAGAGGAGATAGGCCCATCACCCAAGGAAGGGAATCTGACTCATTTCACCCAATGATGCTTCCTGATGCTGGGTTCAGGCTAAGGGGGTCAACTTCACTGAATGAGGAATGAGCCAGAGCCACCAGAGAAAAGTGACTCACTGGTGACTTCAAGAAGTCACAGGAGTTGGCACCTTTCATGGCAGTCAAAGCCTTGCAGGTAAAACAACTTGTGGAAAGGGGGAATGCTTTGTGGCCGTCTCAGTCATCTCAACATGGATCTTGCCTACGTGCTGGCCAGGAGTGGGAATTTCTTCCTGAGGGTTGTTTTGGGAGGTTGGAGAGATCTTACCTTTCCCTGAGCCTAAGGAGGCTCCAAACAAACAAAAACAAACAAACAAACAAACACTTTCCTGCTTTCTCTGCAAGCTCTGCTCCAAAGGAGACCTGGAATCTGTCTTGTGTGCCACTTAGAGGCAGAAAATTCTGGCGAGTTCTTCTTGAGGGAGTGATCCTAAACCTAGGCTCAGACCAAAGATCCAGTCTGCCCCAATTGCTACGAAGATGGGGAATGACCCTCTGTGAAGACTGTCTGACATGGAGGGGACTGAGTGATACATTTGTCTGCTGACCAGATAAAGTTCAACCAGCAGGACTGCAAGCTGCTACATTGTTCAAACCTATGTTTATGCTCATACAATCAATGGCCTCTGCAGAAATGATCATACAGGTGCCAATTTATGCCAGTTATAGAGGTTTGTGATATTCCTACCAACATACCATGAACTGCAAACAGATAAGCTCATTTGAAACTCTGATCACCATCAAAAGTTACCAACAGATACCAGAGTTAGTTCTTATTATTAGTATAAGGCGAGAACAATGGTATCTTAGTTATTCATGTGCAGTAACTGTTGGCAAAATCCAACTTTTTAAAATGACTTGTTTTGGTCCACTACCAACCTAGCCCGTATTTAACCGAAGGATAAAGAGGTGACAGGATCCATTTAGTTAGTCATTCAATTATCCAGAAGTTCCCTCGCCCTCTCCATATTCTGTTGATCCTTAAAGATGGTTTTGTTTATATAATACCATAATGATTTTGTAAGTACTGTACTTTAATACTGACCACATTCAAAAATTTAACTTCAAGATCTTGAGCAAAAGTTGGGCAAAAAAAGTATAAGATAATTTTAGTAAAGCATCAATAACTTTAATGGGTTAGATTGTGTCTTTCAATCACAGACCATAGCACAAGGCTGCACACAGCTGTATAGCCCCATGGGATAACGCCTCTCAGAACTCCAGGGCATGCAGCGTCTGTGCATATGCTACTACATCACTATAAAGGTGCAAACTGCTGGCTGGTACAATAAGTATATATTTGTCCTTTCCCATCCTCTGGGGTATTGAGCATTCTCTACTGCCGAACAGTGCTGGGGCTGTTATTCCATCTGGTCCGCATGCAGGGCAGACAAGTAGTGAGTAAGGGGCATCTACATCAAAGGCCAGGCAAAATCTAGCCTTAAATAACCATGTACATACTTAAAAACAAAAACAAAAAAAAACCCAAACACACACACACACACACCACCCCCTCCATGAGCGACGGCATGCTAAGTGAATGGTTCTGACAGGAAATATAAGTAAACTGCTCACTCCAATATGGGAAAAAAATATGGGTCAATGGTAAAGAAAATGTTTATGAAGCAGAGAAATGAACAGATCAGAGTTCTCCAACAAATTTTTGCAGCAGCAAAAATCTACAGTGTAAAATAGCATTTTTTGTGATGCCAACACCACTGGAGACAAGTAAACCAACTGGTAGAACTGGAATAGAGCACTATAATTTGTTGAAATTTTAACCCGTATATATTACATGAAGTTATTCAAACTTATATCCATATTCCTTTGAAAGTATTTTGGAAATTCTCCTCAGCAGAATTGGTGCCTCTGTGATTTAAATACTCAGGCAGAGGAAGAAACTAGTTTGCGCCCATTAATCTGCACTTATAGTTGTGAGAGGACTCACTGAGTCTCTCTGCAAAGTAATAAACAAAGGAAAACTTTTAATGCTTACAATGCCGAAGGGCAAAAGGGCGGGGGGTGAGGGAGGGGGAGGAGGAGAGGAAGAATGGAGGATAAGAATTTGTTGCCAATGCCCTTTAAATTTCTGAGCCCTCACCTGGCTGTTATGCCCACATTTTGTTCTCTGCTTTGCTTGTAGCATAGCACAAAGTGAGTTTCTCAAATTTTTACTGTTGTGTTTCATTAATAACCTTAAGTTTAGATTAACAGGGTAACAAGCCTTCTGGATGCAGGGGAAGCAAATGTGATAAATCTCTACTTTAGTAAGGCTTTTGATGCTGTCTCAGATGATCTTCTCATAAGTGAACTAGAGAAATATAGCCTAGATGAACTGACAACGAAGTGGATAATCACCTTGTTGGAATACCATTCTCAGACAGTAGTTATCAATGGTTCACAGTCAAGGTAGAAGGGC